AAGCAGAGGCAACTTCTTATAAAAAATCATCAAAACTATGATTATTCACTACATTTATGGGCTGCATTGACAATAGCACTGACAATAATTCTCTCAAAGACTTACTCATTGAAGCACAATCAACAGATATTATCAACACAGTAGTACATATTTTTTCATTCAGTCATAAATAAATTTTCTGTGAAAGAAAGCTATAGAAATGGAATCTCACACCATAGTTTTATACATGTAATTCTGAAGGAATCATAAAAAGATAATTAATAATGGCAGATTAATCCTTGCAATAAACCTCAGAGACTTGAGGTGGTTTACCACCAAAATGTTGCCTTTCTAAGTCATACACTAGCAGAGGAAATTACAGAAACTGCAATAAAGGCCTCAGGCATTGCAACTGGCTAGGATGAAATACAATATTCAGAGAAACAAGCACCCAAGCTGCTGCAGAACAGAACCAAAGCTGTCATTCCAGGGAGCATGGGCTTGTGTGGAGCCTCCCAAGAGCACACACAGAGAAGAGTTTAGCTACTGTCTTCCACAGCATTTAGGCAGAGAAATCAAGTAGACAGGTTGCTCCTCCTCCTTAGGAAGGACCCCTGTTCCCTTCTGGATCTAAACTGTCACTCTCTGGCTCCCAGGAGGCTCCAATCCCTCCTGAAACACACAGAATTGAGGGGAACCTTTGCTAAACTGAAAAGGATCATTTTTATCCTTTTTGTGGTAGCTGAACTGTTGTTCCATGTAGAAACAGAAGATTAACAGGAAATGAAAGACCTACTTAACTATTATAGTTCTTAAGTTCAGGGTTACGAAAGGGTTCTGACACTTTTTTTCCAAAATTCTATACATTAGCAGTTACCAGACTTGAGATGAAAAAAAGCTCTCATAGCAGAGCAGATCAGCTAAACTAGATTACTAGCAGGGAAGCAAGTATGTTCCTAGCAATTTATATGTAATTAAATTAAATGATACATATCTAATGAAAACTATAAAAATCCTGAATTAATATCCACAGAGTCAGGATTTGATAACATGTAAGTAAACCAGATTTAACACAAAACAGGGTTTTTCACAGCTACAAAGCCAAGACAAACAGAAGCAGTAGCAATATGAGTAAAAATGGAAGAACTAGACTAGAGAACATGATCTTCTTGCCAACCAACGTATTTTTAATTCAGAATACAGGAGACTTCCAGAAGATAAACTGATTAACTGAAAGGAAAATTTGACACTGAATGCAGGGACTTTGATCCCTTGTTTCCTCACACTCATAGTGCATCTATTGCAAATAAGTCAACCTGATCCTGTAGAAGACATCCCTGCACATCCAATAAAGTCCAATAAAAATTGCAGCTTCCCTCCTATAGCCCCCAAGACTGCTTTGAAAACGAAACATAAATTATGGACAAATTAATTCACCACATGCAAATCAAATACTGGAAAACAAGGCCACTCCCAAATGCTTATTAAGCCAACTCAAAGCATCACATCTCCATCCTTATCTTCTGTTTCTAATTAACAGAAGAATGGAACTATCTAAACAATAGCATATGGTAAAAATGAAAGCAAGAAACAATTCTTCAACCTCATGTTAATTAAATGGAGATGAAATGACTACATTCTTCTGTGCATGTTCAACCACTATTTTTATTTTTCTAATAACATCTTTTCATGCAGCTTTTTTTCCCCCTGAAAGTGCAGTCATTTCTGTTCTTTAAAGAGAGCGAGCAAAGAACAAGTGATATCTGGATGCTAGAAGAAATGCAAATGTAGATCAAATAATCATTCAATAATCACTTACATGCCAATGTAAGCATTTTCACCTACTGAAATAGCTAACACATAAAAAAATAGAAAACCAACAGCACATTAGTTGTGGCACTGTCCCAGCTGTTGAAAGGGTAAGTAAAGTGTAATTCAGACAATCATCTTTGAAATCCAATACAGACTTGCATAGAATTTTAAAATATAAAGGCTAAGGTAGATACTGTAGTTACAACTAAAGACCAGCATTCAAAAAAATGTGAATAAACTGATGAGTAGCTCTAATTTCCCTCAGCAGGTAGCCAAATATGCATGGCACTAAATTAGTCACCTACACTAATAAATATATATATATGTGAGATTCTGAAAAAACCCTTAAATCAAAGGACTTAAACTAAATACTGTAGAAAGACAACAGCATGAAGCAAACCAGATTCAGTTTACTGCAATCTATATAATAGAAACTTTTTCTAACTATACATTACTGATCTTTAAGCAATAGTAATCAAGGCCTACAGTCCTTTAAAGAAATGAAAAGCCTACGTTTTTTTTAACCACTGCTTAGTCCATTGCCTCTAGTTAGTTTTCTCACCTCTTTTTTACCTGAGAACCACTTTCAGTAGATTTACTTTCTGACAATAAAAGATCAAGTCTAATATTCTTTCAGAAAACCACCACTCTTTTTAGAGAGTGCTAAAGCTTCTTCCTGCTATGAATTAAATTGCTCCATTCCAATTTACCTCCTGTCAACATTAAACTTGCACAGGACTAATCTGTCCTACCTGACCTAAAAGGAGGCAGCAAAGGCTCCCAGATTGCTTGTACAGACCCTGCAGCCACATGGTTGCACTCTCAGTGCTTGGGAAATTCCAGCGGGCTTCTGAGTTAGAGCACCCAAGAACTTGCTCATGGAGCACAACACTGCTTGAATTTTTCCTGCTTTTCTGGGCTCCTGTGGCAGACAGGGGTTCTAGACTCTAGCTGGATGCACCTCCAGCTTCTCCCCAGGGTGTCCACAAATCCTGGGTCAGTGCTCAAACAGGGAATAGACCTAGTGAAATTCCATGTATGCTAAGCCTATCAAATTACAGTTTAGCCATTAGTCAAACACATTTTAAAACTTTATGAGCTACTTTCCCAGAGAAAGCATTTGTAATTAACCTGTGTTAGTAACTAAAAATAAAACCAAACAACACAATTTCCTTTACTGTTACTGCAAAAATCACTAAACTTGGTTGGTTTTTTGCCCGATTCTGAAATTTTCATTATGTTTACCTATTAAATTTAGAAGAATTAACTCATAAATAAAGTAAGTACAGGCTATGGCTAACCACATAAAACAAAAAAGAATGTTGCTTACCGAAGAAAATAAGACTGGTAAAATAATATTGGCAACGCATATTTTGATTTATAAACACGCGTGTTTCATAAAAGTAAGAAGTTCTCTTGAACACATGGTTTGCTTGTTTGGTTACCCTAAAACTCTATTTTTATTCAGAATAGGTTTCCTAAAAATTCTTATTTTTTCCTTTAAGAAAAGTGCTAGCTCTCCGTGATAACCTTTTGTGGCAATCTGTGATAATCAACAAATTTCATTAATATTTTAGAAGGTAAAAAGCAAACAAATTTAGATTTGATCAGTTTCAGATTTCCAACTGAAAACTATGAAAAAACGAAATCTTCATATGGTAAGAAAATACTCCAGATATCTTCTCTCTGAACCACATTCTCTAGAACATTATTAGCTTTGTAAACAGATTTTAGGAATAGCAGTTCCTATTCACCAATCACCAGAGCAAATTTCTAGAGATACAGTAAAGCCACAATGTCATCTACAACTACTAGAACAGTTCTATTTCACACATCTGTGCAGGAATATCATTTTTCCAGCGTTAAAAATTAAAAAAAAAAGCACTATAAAGCTATTTATATTTAAGGCAGCACACTACCATTTAATGAATAAATATTGCAAATATTTTTTTCAGTAATTGCAATAACGAACTTCAGTTATCCAGCTACTATTTTTATCTTTGCTTTTATTAACTAAGAACACAAGAGCTTAAACAGGAACTTCAGATTTAACACCGATCTGAGTGTTACAGGAATTATTAAGCACTAGAGCATTTATGAGGCTACTGTTAATCACTAATGCTGTTACTTCCTCTGATTTTTATGCCATTATATCCTTGACAAACAGAGCCAGGCTGAAACACATTCTGTCATGACAGAATGCTTGCAATCCCTTTCCTGGATTTCCCTAAGGGAATTTTGCATCATTTTAGATCATGAGTTTTTCTCTCAGTGTTTCTTACTAGATCATGATCTTGCAGAATTGTTTTGATTAACCTGATGTGCAGGACTGCAACTGACCCATTCATTGCTGATAAAAATCTAAGAAATACCATTCAGATCTCTGATAAGAGCATTCACCAGAAAGGTGTTAAATCCCAAATGAACTGATTATGTAAATAGGTGTCACACAGTTCACCTGGAGATGCTCCACAAAGTGTAAGACAACAACATCAGAAATGAAAACTTGTTCTCCGTAATTTTTCTGTGAAATAGATCATCATCATGTTTACATCTCATATTTCACACATAGCATTAAGCAGGATATATACTGTGCTATTCTGAGAGAATAAAACAGGTGGAAACGAAATCCATCCCCTTTGATATAAATGGAGTATAAACAGTAATGGCAGAGTCAAACTGGAAAATACACAAGAAAAAGGAATGGTACTAACAGAAATAAGAAACTCCAACAGTGTGATGACCCATAATCTTCCATGTTTCAGAGAGAGTAGTTCAGGCAATTAATACTTTAATATACAGAACTTTAGCTCTTAATACTTAAGGTATTAATTTAATACCTTAACTTCTCTGTTGGCCCAGCAAGTATTTGCAAATCTCAGACATGACATAAGCCTCACAGACTGCTTCTTGCTATGATTCATTCTCACTGTATGAATTAAGCTCCTTATAATGCATATCATGGTGAAAAATAATTCTTAACTTCTATTAATAGCACCAAACTACAGACATCAAATAATGTAGCATTTCTTTGTTACCCAAATGACTATTTGAGTTAGACAAGAAATAATGACCAACTCATCAGAAAAAGTATTTTTTTTTGAAAGGGCAGGGTTCACTTCTGTGATAGTAAAGACCATACGCCTTTAAACATCTTGCATTTCTACTAAGCAAAGGTACAATAGTGAGAAATAAAAAATCTTCCTTACCTATGTATACAATTTTTAGATTCAAGATATGCCATACCAGAGGCAGCATCTAATGAAAATTTCACCAACTGTTTGGTTTTCAGCTCATCCTTCTTTTTTCTTAGGAATGACAGGAAATCACCTCCTAGAAAATCAGACAGATGGACAGTGAGACTGATAGGATATTCACATTTCTCTCTCACTGGAAGTGCAAGATCAAACAAAATGCAGGTTATTAGCTGTTATCTTCATCCCATCAGTTTAAGGCTAGTCCAAGAACAAGGAAGGAACTCATCTTTCAAAAATACATTTTCCCTTAAATATTAGATGCTTGAAAATGAAAATTGCACAGCATGCTTTTGATACACCTAGTCTTCACCATTGTACATTAAATACAGACTCACAAACTGTTGACAAAAAACCTGATCATCTGTGATACATATTCATCTCTAATCACAGAATTACTAATTGTGAATAAAGAGGTTAGGTCCTATTAGCTACACGAAAGTAATTACTTTTAAATTAATCATTTGCAGTGATGCTTCTCTAATTCTACACTGATATGTTGGAGGAGTAACAAAGTGTTTTCTTCTTGGGCAGTGACTGGAGATTTGACCTGGGCAGTGGAAGGTGAACAGTTATTACTCTGCCTTCAGAGGAACAAAGCCTTTGTCTTCTCATCTGAAAAGGGGGAAGGATCAGGGTGGCGAATTTCCAAAAAGAAAACTGTGTTAGCAAAAAAATATTCCAAAAAACTGATTTAGGACAAAGATAAGCTGGAAGGATATTATACAAACACTGCAAAGCCATGTTCTAACTGACATAAATGTATTAAAAGACTTTTCTAAAATATATTTTATTATTCCAGGCAAAGAAAAAAAAAATCACAGCAAACCTTTTCATGTCACACAATTATTTGATAGTGAGTAGCCAGTCATTGCTCCAATATTTGTTTCTGTTCAGTTAGGACTGAACTGACTATTAGGATTTGTTCTTGCAAGCTGTTACACAATTTTATATATTGCCTTTTGTTAGGAATAGGAAATGATGGTATTATATCAAAAGTTTCAGATGCGATTTCCTTTAAGAGGCTATCTATATTTATATTTCATAGTGTAAGAAATAAAGACAATATTAAAGAAAAAAGTCACATGTTATGAAGTGTAACTGCAATGCCTTCAGACATTATGGTGGAGCTGCCCTTTACTCCCAGACTGGGCAACACACAGATGGGAGAGCAAGAGGTGACTGCATTGCCTTGACTCTAAAGCTAATCTGAAACACCCCATACTGAGTTTTAAACTCCACTGAAAAAGGACAGATGACTACTGCAAACTGGACTGGGTAATAATACCTTTTATTTAATCTGAGAGGTTACTGACATAGTCTGGTGAAAAGTAGGTATTGCCAGTGGAAAGTAAGATAAACATTTCAATAACTAATGTGTCATTTCTTGCACATGTAAACAGAGTTTACATTACATTATTCTAGCTACAGCAGACAGCTAAAAAAAACTTTTAAGCAACTCACCCCTCCAACACACACAACAAGCTGATGAAAATTTTGTTATTTATGTGCTGAGACCTCACTGCTTTCTATGCAGGAATCATCTTTGAATGAGAAAGTATGACTAAAAGCTTTTATGAAAAGTATGACTACAAGCCTTCTTTACAAGCTGTGGCATTACTTGAATAAGAGCAATCAAGGCAGCTCATAAAAATACATTTAAGACCTTACAAGACATTTAAGATATTAAAAAAAACTCTACAGTGAATCAACCAATGTTTCAAGATTGAAGATTAAGAATTGCTAGCAACTTCCTGTAGGAAGAACTGAAAAGACAAGCTCAGTTTGATATTTTGGGAAAACAAAATAAATAAAAGACCAAATGAATGAAAAAGAAAACAACACAAACATGCAAAAAAAACCCAAAAACAAAACAAAAAAAAATCCCCCAAAAACAAAACCCAAAACAAAACAAAAACCAGAAAACTGGCAGAAACAAATTCCCCCAAAATCTTGCAAATATTCTCTGCTTAAAAGAACTTGCTATAACAACATCAGTGTAAACTATAATTCTCACAATTCATATGAATTCTTTGTATAAATAAGTTAATGCTCTCCACAATCAACAGTGAAACTATCTGCTCTCAAGTAACAAGGTATTAAAGACAACAAGGAAACTTAAAACAAACTTTAAACAAAAGAAAACCCAACCATATCCATTACAAATTTTAAAATAATATATGTTATAAATTAGTTTCCAATATACTCAGGCAATCACACTAATATCCCAATTTTTAACAATTTATTTCTGAATGATATTAAAAGTTTCTCAGTTCCTAACATCAGAATATGTCAAATTCACAATGCACAAGCCCTTTACTTGCCAATGCAATTCACATCCACCAGGAAGTGATTTAGACTTGTTTATTTTCAGAGCGTAGCATGCACTGTATGAAATTCTAGTTTCCAGCAAAAACAGCACCATATGTCAAGGTGTATACAGTGCGCTAGATGCCTATCACCAAATTTTAATTACATTACTTTAATCTGTCTCAGGGTTTTCATGCTCTGTTTTCCTTTTTCTGTCCTTGCATAGAAATGGCAAAAACATCTTCTAATAAATATTCTGTTTAATATTAATTTAAAAGCAGCGTTAGTAGCAGACAAAATAAAAGAGCCAACTAACAACCATCTCTCTCTGTACAATATATGTAATGTTTAGTCTAAATCTGATTATTCTCATTATTGTGATACTAACATAGGCTGAAGTATCTGTCCCTTAAGTAACAGTTACTCCTCAGTAAATTCTGACTTTTACTGTGGTCAATGTTCCAACTATTCACCTTCATATCAAAGCATCCACATGAATATCTCCAAGACTAAATTAAGAGTATTTCCTTGAAAACTCTTTAGTACAGAGCAGTGGTTAGGTAACATCTTTATTTACTTTTAAAAATAAGTTTTAATGTGAAAAGCCCTAATTCACTATTTGCAGCACATTGTGTCAGAGTATTATTATATATAGCTGTTGATAGAAATGAAATACATAGACCAATGACACTAGGGAGACTACATAATAATAAGCAATGATTTCTCTTTTATGTGGAATTTTCATTGTATTCTGCACAGCTACCTGTTATTCCAGTTAATGGTCCACAACACCACTAGAAAATGATGTATGCTCTAACAGCCCTAAGAATTACCAAAAAATTAGACCATTATATATATATATATATATATATATATATATATATAAAATCACCTAGCAGAGATGACTTGCCTTTTTTTAGTTTAAGAGAGTATATATAACAGTACTTTAGACCCTTCCTAATAAAACAGAATTATTCTACTAAGTAGAGGACAAAATGTAGTTCATAAGCAGAAGCTCCATGAGAGCAGCCTGTTATAACTGGGTTTCTGAACACAGCCCTTCATGTATTTTGCTGTGAATAGCAACTATTTCTCATTACATGCTGGAATTCTGAGAATGTGAGAATACCACATATCAGCAATTCCTAGTGTTGGCTGTGCTTGACAGCAAAAACTTCTTGTACAATAAGTGGCATATCATGGTAATAAAACAGTTCACTCCTCTGCACACAAAAAAGCAAGCTTAGGAAGAGGAAAAAAAAAACCAAAACCCTGTCATATATGAGAAGAAACCAAAATGCAAGAAACAACAATGAAAAATGTTTAATAGGTTTACAAAGTGTTTTGTTCTGGCAATCTCTGATTTGATTGGCATTTATAATCAACTGTGATCACATATTTCAGTGTTTTCCTAAGCTGGTGTCCACAGTGACAACTACCTACCTACTCTAGGCATTCTTGGCATCATTCTGACAACCATTCTGAACACAACTAAAATATATTTTGAAATGATGATGGGAAATCTCACACTGAATTGGTATAGATTTATTGCTTATATATTGTATCTCTATCTAGTATCCTAATAATATTATAAATAATTATACAAATGTTAATAAATGTCTTAATACAATATCAATGATTACAAATGACAGGAAGTTATATGTATTCTTACTCACATATAAATTTTAATAAAGTGGGGGAATTACCTTTGTTAAACATCCTTTTAAACTATGTTTGTTTAAAGAGGTTGCTTAATTTTTCTTATATTTATACACACATTCATCATACAGATGCACCTTGCTTTTGGCCACACATCCTAAATGTCACCTAACTCAGGGGAGCTTTAGGATTCCGTATTCCTAATTACTTTACAGGCCATTGTAATATTATTGAAATTATGTTATTCTGCACCTGTATTTATTTATAAATTTAAGAATTTAAGTGGTCAATATTCCAAGCAGCCTTATAGCAATTTACAATTTCCTTTATAGTCCATTTTAATCCCATATAAATGGGATTAAAAACACAAGCCCAAATGGAGTTGCTTAAAACTATGAACTTAAAATAGTAAACATGCATCTCTAGGGAATTCTAGGAGATATGTTTTTAAGTATGTAAGAAGCGATTTGACAAACTATTTAAAGTACAAGGGTTTAAAAATGTTAAAACACTCATTTTCAATAAAGTACTGTGCCTTCACATTTCAACTAATGCATAACTTATGTGCAATGCAGTACTTTAACTTTATTTTGTTCTTTTATTTCACTATATATATTTTGTTCTATATTTCACTATATATGTAGTAACAGAAACTATAAAGAAACCCAAGGTTTACTTTTCTAGCTGCATACAGATTACTATTGTGATATCCAGTTAAAACTTTATTTTTCCTGTTAAGTACAGCAAATAGAAGTTGTTATAAATATGCGAAGTGCTGCCAATATAGTTTTAGCAATGGCACTAATGAAGTATGAGTAGGAACAGATGTATGTGAAAACAAAAGATGAAGGAAAAAAAATTAAACTAATAGTGTGCATTGAGAGCCAAGGACAGGAGCAGCAGCAAAGAAATAAACACAGAGAAAATGTGCTCTGGATGACTTTTTAGCAGACAACCTGTGATGAGACCAGAACAGAGATGACGCATGAGCACAAAATAAAACTGCACTGTGATGAAATGAAGATGAGAAGGTTACAACATATTTATATATGCTATTTCACTTCCTTTCAATCGGATGACAGACCACAGACATATGATTATCAAAATAAA